TGGTTTAGTAATATAACTGTAAACAATTGCTAAACATAGAACAATCCTGGAAGATTTAATTCTGTTTTGATTTGGTTAGTGAATGAGTTCATAAATGTTATGATCCTCTGTGATTTCTGTGGTGAGTGGCTTTAAAAAAAAAATGTGTGTTCATAGTTTTTGGGTGATAATATAAAAATTGCACTGTATAAGAAATTGCAGCCTCACTACATTACATTCCCAAAGACATCAGTGGGTACAGTAAAGGACCCCTTTTCAACCCTTTAGGCGTATAGGGCATATAGGGCTAGACCTATATTTTATAGACCAATCGGCACAAGATGGGTGATATGGTCAGCATCATGCCAGCCGCCTTTACTTCCCGGGACTATCAGTGGGTATAATTTAGCAAATCTTCATGGTGGATACGACGGACAAATTAAATTTTGTTTTTAATAATATAGCTCAACCAATTTCTCAGTATTTTAGAACAATGGTTTAAAGAACAGACTGCTTACTTGTTCCTATTTTCAACGGAACTGGAGGGAAAAGTCAAACATGAGCTGGAGGTTAAAGGTGTATCAGTGATACAGAGACTGATTTCACTGCACCAGGTTTTATCCCATGCAGTTCAGTTTCTCTCCGCTGAGCAGTTATCTGCCTGCCGACAACACCGCACAAACACTGCAGCTCCGGTTACGATCTCTATAAATACTGCACTCGTAAATCTAACTATTCAGTCCATGAAACAAACCCTAAACCTTCAGAGCCAAAGGCAAATGGCTTAACCATTTAGCCATGGAGAAAAAGTAGGAAGAAAAATTCTTTATCTTTTGCCCTTTATTCCCAATGAAGCATAGGTCCTTAACCCACTCGCACCCACAGAGGCTGTAAAAATTACACTTTGGGTTGAGCTCCCATTTCCCATAAATGTCACATTTCTGACTTGTCTATAGTGATCTGTTTATGAGACAGTTAATGTTGTTGGCCGTTTTCCAGCCTACACAAATATTTAGGAGGTCAGAATACGACTGCATAAACTAAATACAGCACAGGACATAAAGGGGAGGGAATTGGGGTCCTTTTAGCCAAATAACATTTTTAATAGCCAAGTTGACAGAGGTCACAGGGTTATGGCATGACTCACCTCATTCAGGTTTTTTTAGGCCCTGGGAATGTATTCTATTTAATTCTTCACCATGTTCAAGTTTATTGGTTTATGCATCTTGGTATATTTTGAAAAAACGTTCTTTAATATATTCAAATTTTTAACAAATGTAATACTGTAATGAAAAATTATTTGTTTCTTTATATAAGGATGTTTTAATTGAATTCTGAAGGGTTCATTCCCTATTTTTCTTTAGCATTACAGGGCGAAAGTGTTAAGGTGTGGAAACATGGCCTTTACTTGTTTTACTGTTGGGGTTTGTGAAAAGAGACAGGAAATGTTGATCTACTGCAGGTAGTCTTCACTGCAGAGATGACACTGACTGCTCGAATCAATCCAACATGAAGAACCCCATCTGTGAAGTAAACATGTAGAGCTTGTGTATCGCTGAAGTGAAGAAACGCCACCAGATATGCATGAAGTTATGGGGATACGTTTCTTATATACTCGAGAGATTACCTGGAAGAGAAGCAATACATCATGTTATATACTCCAGAAATAACAGACAAGCATCTTAGATCTGAACTATGGGTTGGGGTTATCTTCATCGCACTGTTGGCGTATTTATATCTTAGATCCCCCTTCAACCTTTACATCAGCATAATGTGACTCGATGAATCTGCTTAAAAAAATCCAAGCTGGACTTATCAGGCAAGAATGGATTGAAACACTAATCACTTCACGAATATCTGCCCTAACCTTCATCTTTGTGCCAGGTCATGCGGGTGTTCAAGGGAACGAGCGTGCAGCCTATCTTGCTGACACTGCAGTTGCTATGGCTGGCCCAGTACTGGACAGAAGTGATGTTATCAATGAAATGCGCTGCACTTACCAAACAGAGGAGCACGCCATAGGATACGACTCCATATCCCGGTCTAGACTGATGGACATTGGAGTGCAGCTTGGAGTTACTAGAAATGAAAATTTCACTAAGGGGACAATATGTTTCATTAACCAACACAGAACAGGCGTCATCAGTTGTTTTACACTTGTGGAGCTTTTGAGGAGGAGATCGGAGCACCTATGGATCTGTCCGGAGTGCTGTGATGATAATCCTTTCTAATCACTAATCACTAACCAGCTTAATGTCAATCCTAAGCTGTTAGACAAAACTTCTCCCTCATCCACATAGTGGCACTTTGTGTCATCGGGTGTTTATCGCTTATGTGATGTCCTAGTGGGGTAAAATGTACGACTACTGGTAATCTGGTAATCTGGTAATCTGGTAATTTTAATTTCAGCTTCATAGCAAACGGGTCACCCCATCCTTGCTCCGCTCCTGTGCCAGCGAAAAACACATAGAATGTTTATCACAGTCCCTTGTGGAAAGATTGACAAACTGCTCTCTCAGCAAATCTAGCATACACTCGCATTAAAAGCATATGGTAGCCATCCGAAGTGCTAACAGAAACAGTCCAACGTTAGAAATGCAGTTCATCATTGATGGTAGCAGAAGTCATTAAAAGACCAGCAGTTGCACACGCGATCAATTTTAATCAAATAATGGCCCCACCAATATTGCGACAACCGGCATTGCGCCATTTTCTGAATCTACAAATCACACCACCACGTTGGTCAGTCGAAAAACATTCCAAATGAAATCCGCAGCTCACAGTGTCACGCCATGCACTCAACTCAGAGGCTGGGCAACGAAACTATATACTTCCAGTCTACAAATGGAGCAAAAAAAGCAACGGCCACAGTCTGACAGAAGCAAAAATGTTTGCCCCGGCTAAAAACAGTGGCAGTGCCTAGTGTCCATTTGGACCTGAAGCATTATGTGAGGGTTAATAAACGGTCACCCCAGCAGTACCCTCACTATTAGCTGAGGAAGGGATTTGGGACATTACATCCACCAGCAAGCCTCGCCCCAACAACGACCTGACTGCCTTCGTTAACGACTGTTCACCCAACAGCCATGCAGTTCTTTGGCACGAAGGAGACACCTTGAACTTGGGTTTCGGACTGCCGACTCCCTACAAGAAAATATATGTGTGCTACTGGTGTCCCGTAGCCGAAATACTATCTCACTGTATTACTAAAATTCAGGACTGCCGTAGAAATGTGCACTCAAGGAACGGTTTCAGAAAGAGATGCATACTTGTGGTAGGGTAGCATTGCTTAAACAGGGGTTCACCAGGGGTTGCATTCACATTTTCTAGGTTCTAACAATAGTAATACACTAGCGATGCCTAATAATAATCATTGACCGCTCAGCCAATACGTACATAAATCGGCCTAGACAGAAAGAGAGAGATGGAGAGAGAGAGAGAGGGAGGGGGGGGGGGGGGGTCACCGCATGGCTAATTACAGCAAATATTTAGTGTTCATTGAGTCTTCTGTTTCGATATCCAAACGTGCTTGTTGTCAACCATACATTTTTTGCGTGCATCGATCAAGGCATGAGAACAGAAAATCAAGTGCTGTGTCTCTACATTCATTTCTAGGTGGCCACGTGGTCACAGATGGAACTGTTGTAGCCTGCAGGTAAATTGGATGCTTAGAGAATGTCCTGTTCTCAGGTGTATCTGGTGTTGCCTGATGAGAGGTCATCGCGAAGAAAGGTGAAATATTCAAAAGAAGAGAATTCCGAGTGTCTGTAATTATTTCTTCTTCCATTCGTGAACCCGCCTGCGTCAGAACAAATGTTGCTCCATCAAACGGCGTCTATGTGTCCGAAGGAACGGTTGATGGCCTGGTGTTTAAACACCGGTGTAAGATTTATTGTCCTCTTTCTGTCTCACACAGATAGTAGCGGGCAAGTCGTTTGAATTACCGTTGGAAATACCGCGCGTATAATGTTCTACGTAGTTTCATTAGAGAATGGGATGGTCCGGAGGCCTATAGTTCGGTGAGTGAGTCCAGCAGTTAGCATTTCCCTTTCTCTTCTTTTCGCTAGCATTACTATCTTTTGAAAAAGCTCAGTCCTATTGTTGTCACACATGTTTCGTTTGTATAGTTTGACACTTGCGGGACGTCACTCGGTTAGCCAGTTTTCTGGGTGGTGATAAATCTCAGTGACGCGTACAAAAGGCCCACTGACCTTTGCATCCGTGGTTCATGTGTCTGTATCATCGGCACATTTCCGCTCAAAATATGTTTGAGAATGCTACAAAAACCACATTTGCATGCAATCATGACATCTAATTGTGTTAAACAATATTTCACTGTACGTCTAAAGTAATAACGATTAAAACGATAGTAAAAACGTCTCTAGTTCACAGTCACAAGTAGAATAAAAAAATCCAAATAGTAAGAGCTAGGAAAAAACACGTCCTCTCAGTAGGGAGTCGGAGTCCCCTCCGTACGACTACTACTACTCACTGGCCATAACTCTGTTGGAGCAGTCTGGTCAGAAACTGGGTTTTAAGATATCTTGTATGCAGTAATGAACTGAAGAAGGTCTCTGCTGTTAGTTCTGCTGATTCTAAAAAAGGGCTCCACTAATCAGTTTGGGAACCACTGCCATATAGCAAAAAATTACTAAAAAAAAAGCCTTACCTCACACACCCATGTCTAAAGAGTCTCATGCCTGGAACATGACCACAGTAACTGTCTGATTAACAAATATAATAAATAACATTCATTATGCCTTTAACCCATCTGGCATACAGTGCCAGATCTATATTTTTAACAGGCTATTTGGCACTTGATGGATGATGAGGTCATAATCACGTGGCCACCTTAACTGCCCATGATATAACATTGTACCCATTTTAGGCTGGGCTGACCTGAAAGCCAAGGTCAATTTAAAAGAAAAAAAAATCAGCCTCGATGTGGACCTCAACCTCAGGCCTGCAGGTCAACATCCAGCTGCTGTACTACTGTGGCTGATAATTAGTTTATTCTAACATCATTCATCTGAACAAAGGATCAAAACAAGGACAGGCTTACGTGAAATCTTTGCCACCAGATCGGCCAGGTACTGTTTGGTGTTACAGTCCTTTCTATTACCAGCTGTTGTGCTCATCTCAAAATCAGGACCATAGGCTAACAAATGCTGCAGAAAAAAAAAAAATCAAAATAAATTTAGTAACATTTGAACTGATTACCCATCAGCCCTTAAGTATCTTGGTGAAACAGAATTTTGCATTAAATTACCTGGGGAGGCTGATGATTGAGTTAAATATCTAAGTAATATTTCAAATATTAGATATAAGGAACTCAGGACTATAATCTGACTCATCTCCTTCTTCTTCATGTCCACTGGCTGTAAACTCAGGTGGAAAATTCTGAGTAATTCTGCCACTTGTGGACTTTGGTCTTGTTCCAGACTTTGAGTTTTGCATACACATCTATTTTACAGATCTGGCTTATCTGTATGCAGACTGCTGGTTCATTGCCTCTCAGGCAGATCCACTTCGACTTTGATGAAAACAACTAATCGGTCGCCTTTTACGTCATGCCTGTTAGAGCGCAGTTACTCTTTTCTTGTTTTCCCCATAATGGGGCCCCGGTGTGAGCCATCAAATGCTGAAGGGGAAAAACGACACAAATAATGCAGCAAAATGTGAACTAATTGTACATCAACCTCTAAATATGTTAGTGAGAATAAAAATTGCATTACATTACTTGGTGAAACTGATTATTTAAGTAAATTTAAAAATTAAAATGTCAATTTGTAAAAGCTAACAACTAACTGAACAAGTTCTTCTTTTCTTCCTGCAGTTATATTATTGAAGTGTGTATGTGTGTAAAAAAAAAGGGGGGGGGGGGGGGGGGGGGGGGGGGGGGTTTACTAATCTTCTGTGTGTTCTTTCCAATGTTTTGTAGATGTTGGTCTTCATTTTCTTAAGGACATTACTGTTGTCATTGTTATAAATCTGATCTGGTGTTCCCCATATTCATTCATCCATGTTCATTATATTCACCCAGCATGGCTCTCTGTGGTGGTAATTAAACCATTTATGAAAAGTATCACTACAAACAGGCACAATGACCCTGACCTCATGTTCAGGGATATCTAGAGGCAACTTCTTGCCAGCCGCCAAAGATGTCAGGAAAGACCAACATTTCGCTGTGTTTGGAAAATTGTAACCTCCTGCACAAAATAAAAGACAATGTTTCTTTAAATGGAATGTAACCAATTACCATGCATAAAACTAGTCCCTACATGGGTTTCTAAATGAAACAAAGAAAAGTAACACTGTAATCTCATGTGGATTCTGGGCCCCATTAGCGGGAGGGAGGGAACAGACCCATAGCCCCCTCAACAAGCATGTTGTAAAATACAACTAATTAGGTGTGTTTCTTTCCAAGATAGAATGCATCTACCTGGGAAGTGAGGAACCAACAGTCTGCATTCAAATAATCCAGATCTGTAAAATAGATGCACACACAAAGGATATATTCTTGAAAAACAGCAAAGTCCAGAAGTGGACGAACAACCAGGAGGACCCGTCGGGGTACAGCTGGTGAAAGCGAAGGAGAAGAAAGAAAGCAACCTATCATGTATGTCATAAAAGGCATCAAAGAAAGGTTGTCTACACCGTGTACAGACAACTTGAGCTAGGACTACAAAGGGTCTGGCCTGAGTTTGTTGAGAGCTTACAGAGAGCTTAAATTTTGTTTTGAGTTGAAAGACATAAAAAGAGAATGACAAAGAATTGTGGCATCATCATCGACACCATCATCAAGTGCCTTATTGACTGGCAGGGCAATCATACCTCTCCACAATTTGTGGTCTCCATTTGGACTTTGGCGGCTGTGCCAGGGCCTGAGTTTTGCGTGTACATTCATTTGACTGACTGATTTGTGTGCAGTTGGTTGTTCCTTACCTCTCGGACAGATGCACTCCGACTTTGAAGAAAGCCCCCTATTAGTCAACTCCTATGGCATCTTTGCTGAGGGGGTAGTGGGTCTATACTTGTTTTCCCCATAATGGGGCCTCGGAACCCATATGGGAAAAGTAAGTGATCAGTCAGTCAGCATGTCCTTTACAGAACACTGCTCTCTTCATGGCACGCCTGAAAGTCTCTTCTTCTAGCCAATTCTCCAGCCCTATATGTTTTCATAGCCAATGCATCTTTAATGTCCTGCATCTGCATTCACAGAGGTTTGCCTCTGGATCATTTTCTGGAAACTGCGCCCTCGCATCATCCTTCTCTCCAGACTACCATGGCAGCTGATAGGTACAGAAATATTGTGCTGCCACCATATGTCTTTATTTCTTCTCTCCTTCTCTCCAGACTACCATGGCAGCTGATAGGTACAGAAATATTGTGCTGCCACCATATGTCTTTATTTCTTCTCTCCTTCTCTCCAGACTACCATGGCAGCTGATAGGTACAGAAATATTGTGCAGCCACCATATGTCTATATTTCTTCTCTCCTTCTCTCCAGACTACCATGGTAGCTGATAGGTACAGAAATATTGTGCTGCCACCATATGTCTTTATTTAAAAGAAAACGCATCACAAGATGACTGAAAACTGCTCCAGACCAGGAAAACAGAGACAAAAAAAACATTTTGTAAATGGAACCAGATCTGGCCTCACCTCTCCGGAAACTTCCTGTATAATATCTCAACCCCTGATGACAGATGATGGTTAATGCATTTATGGAAATTTTATGACAGCACCTACCCTAAAGCTAAGTGATGTTATGTATTATTGTCTGTAATTTTGTCACCGTCTGCTGTTTGTGTTGAATGATAATGAACATTTTCTAGCCATAACATTGATTTTTTTAATTCATGACTGTTGTATTGTAAATCTAACTAGCTCTGCTTCTCATCTGGTCGGATAGTTTGTCACAGATCTGCTAGAGCAGTGGCTCTCAACCTTCCCAATGCCATGACACTTTAATACAGTTCCTCGTGTTGTGGCGACTATCAACCTCACAAGTATTTTTACTGCCAGGTCACAATTTTAGAGAATATGTGTTTTGCGATGGTTTTAGGTGACCCACAAAGGGGTGGCAACCCACAGGCTGAGAACCATTGTATTAGTGTTAGGGGTGAAAGCCATTTTATCCCTTAAATCAGCAGTTTTCAACCTGGAGAAGTAAGGAGGAATCCAGAAGGGCATCAAGTAATTTTGAAAGTGAGTGTATTTGTACTTGCAATAAGCCACTATACTTACATTTTGTTTTAGTTTCATTATAAATAAAATATTTTTGTACACAACTTATTAAACAAAACGATAATGAAATATGATCAGTTTATACATCTACTGTTAAAAATGTAATTAATATAACCCACACATTTAATTATAGATCAAGAATACATTCTGACCAAACCATGTCTCTATACTTCTGCTTCACTTGTTGCGGAATCTGTCCTCATCTTTTTAATTACATTTTGTTATGTTGGTATCCGGCCTGCCATATACCCAAAAAAAAGGGGGGGGGGGGGGCACGACCTGATAAAGGTTGGAGTTCACTGTCCTAAATGGTAAAGATGTCAACCCAATAAAAACCTCCAGCCTGAAGAATAGGATTTTATACCACAGCCAACTCCCATAGTCTAGACTTTAATTATCAAAAGCAACTATCATTTTACCAGCCAACGGCAATATAAATACCAGGTTAGCCCCATATGCCGCAATGAGTGAAAATGGATTATTTACTTATTTTTTACTTTACTTATTTTCTTTGCAGTCTAAGAAAGGTTTAGTTTCTTCTTCTTTGCTGTAAACTCAAGTGAAAAGTTCTGGTTGCTCCACACGTCTCAGGCTGATGCAATTTGACTTGGAAGGAAACATCAATCCTTTGTGCTTTGGCCAGGCTCCCGATTTGGAACCACATCTAGGATGACAACAGAGAGGTGTAGACAGATATTGACCAGCAGGAGCCCTAGTCCTGGTGCACTACCACATGTGGTTCAGCACTTCGGCCTCGGGTTTAAAATCATGAGCATCAACTTCATTACAGCAGGTTTTACCACATGTTTCGATTCCTCTCTGCAGAACAGATGGTCGTCTATTGAAAGCATTGCACAAAACCCAGTGAAAATCCCCAGGCTATAAAACTGGACTCTAGAACTTAACATAGCAGCACTTGAAATAAATCCCTGACTTTCACAGCTGGAGGAAAATGATTTAACAAAAACCACCTAAAAGAAAGTTGTGAAGGAATAGCAGTTACCTCCGCCCAACAACATGGTTGGCAAGTTCCAAGACAGCATGAGTCCAGCACATCTGGAGATTCCGAGGTGGGTCAGGTTGAAAGAAGTGTTTGGGTCTGAGGACAAAGTGTCAGCTCCACACTGTAGTACAATAACTTGAGGCTGGAATTTCTCTCGGACTAGTTTCATGATACTGTCAACAAAATTTTTTTTAAAGTCAGTCATTGAATCAAACCATAAAAATCTACCAGCTTATCACAATTTTCTTTTGCTTTTGCCAATAAAAGTGCGGTTGGCATGTTGTGGTTTACAGCTAGGTTGTGATAACTCCTTAGCGACTTTTCCTGAAGGTTGTCCAGCAGTCCGATGTAGTAAAACAAAATGATTTATAGATTGCCATCGTTATACCTATATTTAAAGATAGGGTGATAAACTACACTGTAAAAACCACAGAGGCATATCCCTCTCCTCAGCCTTCCTGGTAAAGTGACTCTAGAATTCTCAAACAGAGACTTAGAAGTCTGGCAGAACTTCAGCTGGATCGGGCCCAAAGCGGCTTCAGAGCAAACCAAAGTACTCAAGACCTGATCTTCCCACTCAGACGGATGAGTGAAAAAGCCATTGAATATAAAAGGGAGATGCACCTATGTTTTTCAGATCTAAAAAAAAAAAAAAAAAAAGGTATTTGATAAGGTTTCCTGGAGTAAGCTCTGGGACTGCTTGGCAGGGAAAAACATTCCAGCACCCCTGATCAGTGCAATACAGAGTTTCTACAAAAGCTGCAGAAATTATGTAAGAACAGCAGACCAAAAGTCAGAAGAATTTAAGACCAGCGGTGTTAGGCAAGGTGATATCCTCTCACCCTACCTCTTCATTCTTGTGATGGAAGATGTCATCAAGACCTGTAAGAAGACAAAGAAGTATTCAGTAGGGTACTCGAAGATGAGACCAATCTGTATACCGGAGATGGCATTTGCAGACAATGTGGCCCTTATAGCTAAATCAGAGGAATATCTTCAATCCAACTTACTTTGTCTGGAAGGAAGAGCTTAGAAGAGAGGGATGACCATAAGTATCTCCAAAATTAAAACCTTGGTGATCTCAAGAGAGGAGAAAAATACCAGATCATGAATGAACAGTATGCATTGGAGCAAGTCAACCAGTTCAAAAACCTTTGAGTTGTAACACACCAAAATGGAGGCATTAAGACAAAGCTGGCTAGTCAAAAAACAGCTGCTGGGAGACTATCCCATGCCTTTAACTAAGGGTTTTTTAGCAAAAGAGAAATCAGCAATAAGAAGAAAATGACTGATTACCAGTCTACCTATGTGTGTGCCAGCCAGTCCTGACAACAGTTCACAGAAGCCAGCTTCAGGCCTCAGAATGAGAAAGGTGGTCCAAGTGACAAGAAGGGACAAAGTTTGCAGTCAGACAATATGTCAAGATATTGAAACCCGGGCCTTACAAACTCAAGTAGGCCAGTCACAGTTATGATGGTTTGGACATGTATGCAGAATAGGAGAAAAATTGGCTACCATGGCAGGCATAGAAGGCTAAAAACCAGGGAACCAGACCTCCAGGGCGCCCCAGAGTCCAATGGGAGGACAACATCCGACAGCCCCTGACTGACAGAGGAGTGAAATGGAACAAAGCCAGAGAAAAAAACTGCTGATAGAGAAGTCTGGTGATTTCTCTGGCAAACTTCTACACCCCAAGGTAGAAGAGGAGCGACTAAGTAAGTTGTCATATCTGCAACTTTTGGCATCCAGTTTCAGCAAATCCCTAATAAGTTTCCTTTACCAAAATGATTGTTAGGAAGCAGTTTGCCTATTCTACTCACAGTGTGTCTATTCTACTCACAGTGTGTCTATTCTACTCACAGTGTGTCTATTCTACTCACAGTGTGTCTATTCTACTCACAGTGTGTCTATTCTACTCACAGTGTGTCTATTCTACTCACAGTGTGTCTATTCTACTCACAGTGTGTCTATTCTACTCAGTGTGTCTATTCTACTCACAGTGTGTATTCCACTCAGTGTGTCTATTCTACTCACAGTGCATCTATAGTACTTCCATTCCTATAAGCGCTCCATCCCCATACTTAGCAGCCATTGCACTCAGATAATATCCTTACATCTGATTGTTGAGCGTCTGTCAGATTATAATCTCACTCCCAGACGGCATTTCCCACAATCCACCATCCAACCAATCAACCAAACAACAAAGTACTATCTGCACAATGAAGGTTGGCTACAATCAATCTCCAACATCTGTGCACATTTTTTCTGTGTGGGTTCCAAAGCCCTATTTAAAGGGGAAAAACAATAGACCCAATTGCTCCCAAAATAATGTCATAAAAAGCAACTAATAAAGGTTTTGCTAAAATTATATGTGTTGGGCCGAAAGGCACAAATGTTGCAACCTAGCCATAAATCACAACAATATGCCAACCGCCCTTTTTGAAGGTGGAAAAATAAATGATGAAGAGGAAATGTACACCGACCTATAAAACACGGCACAGAACTCAGCATCTCTGATTCCATCCAACAGTGGAACATTCACAGAGTAATATTTTCCTTTCCCTGTTCCTATATCTCTCACGGATCCTGTACCTAAAATTAGAGAAAACAATTTTTATTGAGTACTTGAGTTGTTCTGCTGCATGTTTTCTTGTTTGACCTTAAAAGGGGCGATTTCCACATTATACTGTAGTGTACAGCTGGTTTGCAAGATCCGCACCATTGGCTGAAATCAGCAACACCTTGATTAGCTAATTAGCAACCCTTTGTAACAAGCTTGTTAAGGGGGGGATTGGGAGGGGGGTTACAGTGGGTCTTTTCCTGCCAAAACTGGCCTCCCGAACTAATGTGGGAAAACTGCCCACATGCTAGGAAAAGCATTGTTGTAACTTTCTATGCAGGTTGCAAAGGTATGTAAGGGAATATGCGTGTGGGGATACTGTGTGTGTATAATAATCTTTTTTTTTTAGCATTCAGTGGCTGTAAACTCTGGTTCAAAGTTCCGGTTATTCGTTCACTTCTGGATCTTAGTCTCACTCCAGATTTTTAGTGTGCACATCTGTTTTACAGATCTGGCTTATTTTGTATGTAGACTGCTGGTTCCTCACCTCTCAGGCAGATGCTCTGACTTCAAAGAAAACTCCTAATTAGTAGACTTCTATGGCATGCTTTTAAGGGACAGTGGGTCTATTCTTGTTACCCCCCCCCTCCCCCCCCCCCCCCCCCCAATAGGACCTCAGAACCCACAGGGAGAGGTCGGGGTGTGAATGGACCATTTGACCGCAGGCTACTCTGTAACCAAAGGTTGCTTCAGTATACCTGTGCTATAGGCTAATCAGGATTTTTGGGATTTTCTCCTGCTGGACCCTCGTCTGAATATGACTATGAATCACAGGGTGTTTTCTTTCAGACTGCAATCCCATAGGAAATTAAGTGGTTTTTTTTATGTGTTTATCTATGTAGACAATCTTCAGATGAAACAGAAGATGTATATCTATGGAGGACCTTCAGAAATGGAAGGACATTTATATATGTGAAGGACCTTCAGATGATACAAAAAGACATTTATATGTGTGATGGACCTCCAAATGATTTAGAAGATGTATGTGTGTGGAAGACCTTTAGGTGAAAACTGGAGATTTTCTTAGGACAGAAATGGAGATGTCTGTAGTTGGCAGCTCTATGTTAACATTTTTAAATGTATGAACACAAAATAACTTGAGACCAAACCAAAACGAAACAAAGTCTTACCAGGAAAGAAGCCAAACATGTACTTGTGAAAAGAAACGGTCATAACTTTTGGAGTCATACAAAAGGCCTCCTCCACACCTGCAGCAGAAGACAATCATCAGTGAGAATCAGATACAATCAGAATGTACAGGTGCATTACCAACAGGCACTGGTGGTCACATTTCTCTATAGCTTGTGAAAATATGGGGGTGACTGCAGTCAAGCTAATACAATGAATTCAAGAGAAATTTGACTAAAAAGCTCAACAAAATGGGAAAGAGGAAAACGTGCACAAAACAACACAACGTAACGTTTCGGCCGGGCAGCCTTTTTCAAACACAAGTGAAATACACAAACGAAGAATGGAGAGTATGTAGATCTCTAAGGGGTGACGTGAGCGACGTTTAAAAAATGTGATGCGGAATAAATGAAATAAAATAAAATAAACGATGGCTAAAAAATATAGTCACAATACTGGGAATACAAGAAATGCAAGTGTTAATGATACATAAATAATATTGATAAGAAATATAATATGGTAATAATATAAAATAAAATAATTAACATTTAAAATGTGATAAGATTAGAACTATTTAGATGAAGGTATGTTGGATATTGATACCTCTTGGACTAAGAACGCCAAGGCTGTGGATAAGGCGATTTTCCAAAGCGAGGCGGGTAGTATGATCGCCAGAGCAAGATTTTAATGCTGTGACAGATATGTCATCTTTACCGCTGTGGTCAGGGCTATTGAAATGAAGAGGGATTGGTTTGAGTGTCTTTTTGTCGATATCAGAGAGGTGTTTTAGCACAGTCTGTAACACTTGGTGGCCTGTGGACCCCCTGGGGTCTGCAGAACAAATTTAAGGGGTCCAGATATAATTTACACACATGCACACAGAACACCTCTAGTATGCTATCCTTTCATATGAATATTAAAAACTGTAGGTTCAGTGGAGAAAAAAGAGGACACTGCAGGTCTTAGATAACTGCGAACAACTGCTCTAAAATGTTTAATTCAAATAAACAGGTCACATGTTAGATCAGACTAAAAAAAAATACTTGTAATTCTGCTTCTTAGCATTCACCACCTGTAAACTATGGCAGAAAGTTCACTTGTGGACTTTAGTCTTGTTCCATAACATGAGTTTTGTGTACACAAATCAGACTAATTTGTAGGCAGACTGTTAGTTCCTCACCTCTCAGGGAGATGCATTATGACTTTGAAAAAAAAACACTCCTATAAGGTACCATTTTCCCTGTGTGGGTTCTGGGGTCCCATTGTGGTGAGAACAAGAACAGACTCACTGCCTGCCCAAAGGCATGTCATAAGAGTCGACTAATTGGGAGCTTCCTTTAAAGTCGGAGTACATCTGCCAGAAAGGCAAGGAACCAATAGTCTGCATGCAAATTAGTTAGACCTGTGAAATGGATGTGCACACAACACTCAGTTTCTGGACAGGACTAGAGTCCAGAAGTGGACAAGCAATCAGAACTTTCCGCCAGAGTTTACAGCCAAAGAAGAAGAGGAAGGTACCATTTATGAAATGCTTATTACATTATTAGGAGGTGCAGCAGATTTTTTTTTTGATACCTAAAATTGGGCCCCGGAACCCACACTGGAAAAAACAATTCAAGATGCATACCATCTCCATGATGCAAATCTATATCAACATAGAGAATCCGGTCAAACTTTTCTCGCAGTTTGAGGATGCCTAAGACGATGTCGTTGATGTAACAGAATCCTGCAGCAGAGTCTCTAGGAGCAGAAACAAGTACATACATGACAGATCTAGAACATTCATGATTTTCTGCTATTTAATTTCCATTGGAATACATACTTTTAAAAAACATTTCAAACTGTTTTATCTTTGCACCATTTCTTGCAGCTCCTTCATGCCCTCCCCATATGATTCTTCTTCTCAGCACTTGTTTTTAAAGAGCAGTTGACATGTTGTGCTGTGGTTGACAGCTAGCTGATGATATCTGCACCTTTTGTCCCACCCACCATTCTATACAATCTTTAAATAGTTACCTTTAAACAAAAATACTTTTTAAGGAGTTACAAGTCCTCCCTGAATATAGCCGGGCCATAAATATGGCCTACCTATAGATATGGTCTAATGGTTGAAAGGAGTTTCTAGGACCTCTCCATGGGTGATCCTCATCTGCAAGTTGGTACTCTGTGATGTCCTAGTAGGGTACAACTACCTACTTTCTTTACTAAGAAGTGGTGAAAATCCCCCCCCCCCCCCCCAAAAAAAAAATGGCGCTCAGGAACCAGGAATCTACATGTGGAATATTATTTCTCTCGGACAATAATTCTCTCCTTCTGGTATGTTTAGGTTTCCCATATTCTCTTCTGCCCTGTGGATCCCAGTACATTGACATTCTAGTTATACTATTACATGACTTTCACAATGTGGTCTCCTTTTAACAATGAATAAAAATCAAAATCACCATGTTACTGGAACCAAAAATGGAATTAACAAACAAATAATATTTCCGCCTAATGCAGACATGAATGTCAAATGAGTGACTAAAAAAAAAAAAAGGTGTTGGCTAAACCATCTAAAAGAAAACTAGCTGGAAAAACCTACCTATGTGAACAAGTCATACACACACACAAATACTACTTAATAAAAGAGGCAAGTGCTGGATAGGACAAAATGAGAACACATGAAAACAATCTCTTCTACTTCTTTGTAATCACCGGCTGCAAACTCAGGCTGGTTGTTATTTTATTTCTAGACTTCTGTCTTGTTCCAGAATTTAGGTTTTGTGTGGACATCTGTTTTACAGATCTGGTTTATATGACTGCAGACTGTTAGTTCTCTGGCTATCAAGAGGATAAACTAATGCATGACACTATAAGATCTAAAATCACGGATGCATTGTTATGGTGACAAATATAGAAGAAATGGGCATACTTCCAACCTTCATAAATGACGGACTGAATAAAAAAATGATAAGCCGTCAGTATTTCTTCCCAACAAAATTATTTACCAGATGTAAGAAAATACCTCTTAGCATGATGCCATCCTCCATACCAATTTATTGCTACATCTGCTGCATTGTTGATAAGTGTTTCTGCTGCAACAATGGTGGCGCCACTGATCAAAGAACATGTTTCAAATATTCCTTTCTGTAGGGGGCAGTCATATGCTGGTGAAAAATCATAACAAAATGTATTACTCATTAAATATCTGCTCCTTTTTGTGTGTGTCCGAACTGAGGCATAATTCTGAGGTCTTCACGGATGTAACAAAATTCTGAGATAAGAGTTAGGAAGTCTTATGCAGCTTGATTCTTTTTTTCTACTTCGTATTCACCAGCTGTAAATTCAAGCAAAAAGTTCACCCATGTGCAGGCTATTGGTTCCTCACCTCTCAGACAGATGCACTCCCCTTTTTGATAGAATGTTGATGCTATCTATATAGGCCAGGTCCCTGGTTGTTAACCTGTTACTAATATGACCACAGAGTTGTAGATAGGTCTTGACCAGAACGAGCTCCGTCTCAGGTGCACCATCGTGTGTGGTTCAGCCCCTCCACACACTGTTTAGCACCACCACATGTCATTTAGCCCCTTCACATGTGGTTCACCATCACCATGCTGAACCACGTGTGGTTTAGCATCTTCACACCCGGTTCACGCATCACCAAGTGTGGTTCAGCATCTGCATATCACATATAGCTTTGATTCAATACAGTTTATGCAATGCTATTTCAGTCCCAAACAATACATTGCTAGTGATTAGCTCTCCAATCACATGTTTTCTTTCTTTTTATGTTTGATTAAAACATATTAAACAAATCTGACCAGGCCTCTCCAACAGCTCTGAAATTAATGTACCGACAATTCCTAACAATAGTTTTGTTTTTCCAGCTTATGGTATCACCTGTGAAACACAAGGGACTGAAATAATTAAACATCACAGACTAATTGCACTTAGCCACACAGGACTGCAGGTTACAACAGGCCTGTATGGCTATTAGCGGTTCCACAATAATAAATTCTATGTAGGTGGAATGTGATATAACTTGAGGCTGAGCTGCTGGCTTGTCATCCAGGTTGAGATTGTGTAAGCTCAGGGTTGTAAACTTTCAGGCAGAAGCCTAGAGAGGAAAAACTGCAAGCTGATTCTATTTGTAACTGCCAATAAAAATTTTCTTAGGAGGTGAATGTGTGATCTTTCTCTAGACTTCCACTAGAAATGTGCACGTTATAAATTAAGGACGCTGTTCAAAACAAAAAAGAATAAAGGAACATGTGACAATTAGAAAGAAAAAAAACAACAACTGTGGATTGAAAGTTTGAGAAGGCAACGAGAGCAGATTCTTGACATCCTGATGTCATGGTGTGGAAGGTGTCAGCACACAAACTGATAAATGAATGCTGGAGATTGTAGGATGTGACAAAGCATGATCCCCTACAAAAATAATCAAGCCTGTCATTAAAGAGTTAACACACGCACATACAAAAAAGGTATCATAAAACAAATTTTAAAATACACAAAGTACAATTACAAAAGAAAACATAAAAACACACAAATAACAACATGATACAAGAAAGGACATATGGAAAAGCAAACAATGATCATTACATACAAAGTCCGTAGCTCTCGGCATCGCTATCATGACTGTCTTTACCATCAGGGACATCTCCAGAATCTCGGAGAAAAGCCACATAGTCCGGACAATGGAAGCCTAAAATGTCTGTCTCTGTGGCACATCTAGGGCTGACAACTCTGTGTAATGGTCAATGTCAACAGTTAAAACTAATAAGGCTGCAGTTTTAACTACAGCTACCCATCAATTTTGTAATCAGCAGCATAACCACTCACACACTGTTGTAAACAATGACTAGTCTAGAATTACCCCCCTCCCCCTTCCATATTACAGTAAACAATGGTTGGTCTAATGGAGTCACCGCGGCGTTGGCGGCTAGACGCCCGCCTGCAGATCAAAGGTGTGCGTTCTGACAGAGCAAAACATTTTTTTTTCATAAATGGCCATCACTCCCAGGTCGACCCAGCCTTGAGTGGGCACCAGGTGCAGTCCTGAAAAGTAAAGGCGGCCGGCGTGATGCTGACCACAATCCCCACCAAGTGCCGATTGGTCTATTAAAAAAAATAGGTCTAGCCCTATATTTCCGAAACGCCCAAAGGCGTGGAAAAGGGACCTTTACTTTAATTTAATTGTTGGTCTAACATAACTATCCACATATAAGGGTGAACAACAGACAGCATAGTATAACCACCCAAACATCAAAATAAATGCTGGCTGGTCTAGTGTTACTACTAAAGAACAAAAAGAATGCCTATATTATATTTCCATTTATCTTTTCAGTTGTGCTCTTATGTTTCAGTTTCTTTTATAATATGGCCACAGAATGCTGGTTGCAAGAAGTTGTTTTTGTGTCGTAGTAAACATTTAGGTTACTCATTTTGGCTATGCCAGGTGTGCATGGCTTCCCCCATAAAACTACATTTCTTTCTTCTTTTTCTTCTTAGTCATCACTGCCTGTAAAGTTCAGTAGAAAGTTCTGGTTTTTGGTCTAATTAAAGAACCTGAGCTTAGCTTTGCTGATCTGACTTCTTTGTATGCAGACTGTTGGTTTCTTGCCTATGAGGCAGATGCACCACCACTTTAAAGGAAACCCCTAATTCTCCCCCCCCCCCACACAACGGACGAGCGGGTACCCCAAACCCACATGGGGCACATTTAGATGGGAGGGGGGGGGGAGATAAGCTCCTAGGTTCCGACAAGCCTGTATAAATATAAATATTAGTATTCCAATATTCATAATTCTAATATTCATAATTAAACCAATACACTTGGTATAAAAACAGCGAGAAGAGAATCAGAGGCAGACGAATAACATAGTGAGAACATGGTACAGGCAGTTGAAGATGGGAAAAGATATGCCTAACTGGCTGCAAAATAACCCAAATTCAGATTTGGCTGAGGGAGTTTTCTGTTTGTATTTAAAAAAAAAAAAATTATTAATTTGATGAAATGCTCTTACTGTAAATACTGTAGAAGCCCAACGCTTGAGATTAAACTGTGAACAAGTTCTGCCTGAAAAAAAATCAGAAAACTGTACATACGCTGATAAATATTATTTTCAAATTGAGATTAAACTGTGAACAAGTTCTGCCTGAAAAAAAGCAGACAATTTTACATATTCTGATAAATATTATTTCCAAGTTTACAAATAGGCTAAAAAAAAAAAAAAAAACTTTTGCCATCTCACTGATATGAGGGACGTTTTTAAGAAAAAAAAGTAAGTCTCGTTTTGACCACAGGGAAATGTAAATGTACAAATGCAGTATGTTTACATGGTTCATTTACTAGCTGTGTGCTATTTTTCCGCTGTCGAAATACTGTTTGATGCAGTGTGCCTAGCATATGATACCACAACATCCAGGTTAAGAATGGAGGTGGAGGTGGTCATAGCAGCTTTCCGCTGGTTAGAGAACACGACACACACATGCATCGTGATTGTAACTGACTCAGAAAGCATGCTGAGGAAGATCAGGACAGGCATGCTTCGTGCAGAGTGGCATGATTCGCTGCGGAGGACATGGGTGAGGAGTAATGTCTGGATTATTTCACCGGGGCAAGCCGGTGTATTGGGAAATGAACAGGCAGACAGACTGACTGGCTCTGCACAGCTTGGTGATGCATGATAAGGCAGATGTGGTTAGTGGCTTGTGGGAGAGCGTGTACAGTTCAGAGGAGCAGATGGATCACCATAGTCTGGTGAGATTGAGGCAGCGGGGAGTGACGAGAGGTTCTGGCAGTGTTCAAACGCTTTTTCTATGAAAAAAGCCCTGACTACCATACAGCATGGACTATAAGAAGAAGGACACAGTTTAACGTGTAATTAAGAATCAATATCACAACACTCAGGCATTCCCATATGTGCTCAATCCCTATCTTCAGCAAGCACAGAATTCCAATTCCAATGGTACCAGTAACAGTCTGATTGTATATCTATCTCATCTTTCCCCTGAGCATTGATCATGAATCAGATGCCCAGGTCACTCCTCACAGCACCATCTCCTCAGATGATCATGATCCATCTGTGCCTCCACACTGTTCACCCCCCCCCCCCAACCCTTACACCATCTAACTTGTCATGTATCAATTCATCACCAACCTGTGCAGAATCAGCCAGTCTACCTGCTGTTAATTTCCCAATACACTAGTATTATTTGAAGAAAATATCCAAAGTATGCTAACTTCTGAAGCGATGCTTGCCACTCTTCATTGAGCACATCTTCACCTTTCTCAACATGCTCTGTGAGTCAGTTACAATTAAGACATGTGAGTACAGCTGATTCTTAAGGCAGCGGAAGGTTGAGAACACAATTTTAGGAAACAAAAACAAACAAAAAACTCAAACACAATGTACTCACTCTTCCTTTAATTCTGATCAGCTCATTTGCTTTCTCCAAAAGTTGTTTGCTGTGAACATATGCCACACGGTATTTGGTTTTTGGTTTCTTGATCTCTGAAGTCTTCAGTGAAACAGCTTCAGCAGCTACAGCTGGAGAATCTATATCTGCTGCTCCCTTCCCCTCAGCTGGCTCACTGCTAGCGTTATTATTTTGGCCACAGCTGTTGATGTCTGTACATAATTTTCTTTTCAGTGGTCGATATTTTTCTGGATGGAGATCATCTTCACTTGACAAATCAAAAGGATCGCCAGTTTTTGCCTCGGATTTATCTTCCTGTGGTAATTTAATTTCCTCATCTGAACGAACATGAGCTATCAATGGTGGCTGCCTGACTGTCTCATTATTACACATAGCTTTATCAAATGTATGTTTTAACTGAAGTAGTTTCAGCTTCACACTTTCATAATCATTTTGTTGTGACAAATTAATTTGACCACAAGGTTTCTGAGAATGAAGTTCACTGTTTTCATTATCTTCCTTTTTGCAGATAGAATAATCCGGTGACAGTAAGTGACAACTGGTATTTGAAGTTCTCATAATGTTATCAGCAGAATTTAGAGTTGTATGTTTGACATGTTGACTTTCTACTTGTGATAACTGATGTGCTGACAAATCAAAAGGATCACCAGAATCTACAGGACCATCCACACAAAGATGTGGCTGGCTTTCTTGTCTCTTATCACTATTTTTTTTATTGTAAATAGCTTTGCATGGAAAAGGTGTTTCAGCTCGATCACTCTTGCATAAATTGGTTTTCATTTTACCATCATTACACAGCAATGCCTTCTGGGTATGCTGGCATTTACTCTGTACCTGATCTTCATTAAAGTGTGAACTGACAGGATTGCAATTACACTGACTTTTATTCAGTTCATTTGTTTCCTTGTTGTAATCAAGACTACAAGGAATGGATTTCTCAACTGCGTCACTGTCATTCAAAGCTTTATCAACACTGTCCACAACTTTTGGCAACAGTCTTTGGTCAGGTTTATATTCTCTTTGTGGCAGATTTTCTTTAGTGGGTGAACAAACAAGATCACTAGAACCTGCATACAGACCATCTTTCTGTTCACCAACTTTCTTGCTGATGTCAGAACTGTTAGGCAAAGATGGTAACGTCTCTACCGTATCCTGACACAAACCCGTTTCAACTCTAACACCAGCATGTAGAAATGTGCCCTTGACCTGTTGACAATCTTTTTGTAACAGCCTATCAACAGTGGAAAGACTGAAAGAATCTGTCGAGGACAAACAATTATGACTTTCATTGGTTGCTTTTCTGAGTTGCTGATTACCAAAGGCAGACATCTGATTCTGATTATTTTCACTAATGCTTAAGTCTGCTCCATGATTATCAAGATCATGAACTACTTCCCATCTGATAAGCTGATCATTTTCAAGTGATGGTTTGTCTTCAGTGAGCAAATCGTGTGGATCAGCCAGTTTTATGGGTGACTGATTCTCCAGACATACATTAACTTTCTTGTCGCCCATTTGAATCCCTGCATACAACAACTGGTTCTGGTTTCCTTTCTCTTCTTCTTCAACAACATAAGAATTCATCATTTTGTCAGCCCAACTTTGAATCTGACAAGGGGAATCAAATCTCTGTGGATGCTGAATCTCAGTGTCTTATTGTTTATTTCAGTATTCAGTATTTGTCAGTGAGTAAGAGTTTATCATAAACTTTATCTTTATGAAAGAACCAGCCAGGTAGTTAATTGTCTACTTTATGAAGAGGCAAGTAGTAAATTGTCTAATTTATAATATAAGAACCAAACTGTTTAATTTCTGACGAACCAAATCAATAAATATAATAATAAAACACTCCCATGCAAATTCGAATGCAGTAAATCCATACAATTTATATTTATAATTATATAATTATAATCTTTTTTTTTATAAATTTCAAAACTGAAGAAATAAGAAATGTTGATGAGCTAGAAAAGTTAGTTTGCTTGCTAGAGAACTAATACTCATTACTGTGTATAGCTGCTATCTTCTACACAACAACAAGACAACTTCTTTTTATTCACAAAGCAACAGAAAAAAAGACGCTCATGTTAACTGTGATATTTCCATTCCGATGATAACAAAGCTAAGTACAATTCAATTTCCCACTTCATGAAGAAAGATCAACTTTGACCTCATTCGGCCAACAAGTAATTCAGCTTTATCGTAATATATACTTTTTCAAGAATTATACAAGTATGATGTTAATGAGGAAAGATTGGAAGTGGTGGAAAATTTCGAATATCTTGGGTCACTGGTTACCAACAATGGTGACACAATGAAAGAAATTAAACGGCGACTATCAATTGCTCTTCAAAGACTAAAACAACTGAATAAATTATGGAATTGTATGGATAGAATTACAAAGGTCAGATTTTTAAGAGCATGCATTTTTCCCATTGCAACATACGCCTGTGAGACCTGGACACTTACTAAACAAGCGGAACAGCGCATAAATGCATTTGAATATAAATGTTACAGACAGGTTCTAAGAATATCTTGGGTAAAGAAAAGAACAAATGCATCCATACTTCAAGAGCTGAATATTGAAGAGGGTTGGCTAGTAAAGACAATAAAAAAGAAAATTGAAATATTTTGGTCACTTGAAACGTCATGGAAGTCTAGAGAGAGCAATAATGGAGGGGTATATGCCTGGGAAGAGAGGAAGAGGAAGGCCAAGGAGAAGATGGGTGCAGGATGTGGCAGATGATCTCCAGATGGGTGTATCAGACGCAGGACATCTTGCTCAGGATAGGAAGGTTTTCCGGAGGGTTGTTATGGCAGCGAGGTGCCGCGAGGGACATGCTACTGAATGAATACAAGTATGCCTGTTTGTAGAGTTATGATTCTATTTATTTTATATAATATTAGAGTTTATAACTACTTTAGGAGCTAAAATTGTTGAACTGTGTTTAAATTTGATGAGATATAAATAAATTTGGTATAATTAAATAGCGATATGCTAGAATTACGACCCTTTTCCTAATTAACTGCCCTGTGTGTAGCTCTCTAGTGGAAACACAAACAAAAATGGCCACCCCAAGTCTGCCTCCGGTTCCTGCTAACTTAAAACCCGTCGTCTTGAAATATTTAAGAGTTGCCACAGAACATGACAAGCGGGACCCAGTCATAGCTTACTACTGTAAGTTAACCAGCTTACCAACTTGTAATTAAAGGTTGATTATTATAAATATACATATGAGTCCTATACTACAGACTTCAGGCTATGTCTCGAGACTGCAAATCTTGAAATCAGGGAGGATGAGGATGATAGTGATGTATCTTTGGGACCTACTCATCTATCCTGTTTGTTGGTCGCCATATCAATGATTTATGATAGGGTAGTTCGTCACTTTCTTTTTTTTTTCTTCTTCTTTTTCTTCTTCTTCTTCTTGTCTAGTGATCACTTTCTGATTTACACCGACAGACAGGTTGTCATAAACTTGACAGTGACAGTATTTTTATTTTAGTTTAGAAGTTTCTCACTTTCTCAAACAACTTGAACTTTGACTGACTCAGTGGGCCAGTATTAATAGTATTATTCCCTTATAAAATGGGCTGTACAGTACAAGGGACATTCTTGCAGGACATGTTCTGTAGTTTTCACAGTATAGCCACAGTGGGGAAATACTTAGATAAAGCCTGTGTATATACTATATACTTGTTCAGTTTATGTCCTGAGGCATAGAAATAGAATAATTTCAATAATGCCATGCCGATCAAGTAAGTGGTAGTCATCTCTGGTCGAATTCTGTTCACTTTTGATAGAATGGCCCTTTTCTTCTCAAAGTATGTAATTGTTACTGCATACTCTTCCTGCTCACATTCTGCCCCTTTCTTTGCAAGTTTATTTGTGGTTTCATTTCCTGGTTTTGCACAATGGGATGACACCCACTGGAGTACAGGATGCTTTTCTTTTGGGTAGCCACCTTGAACTTTGCTGAGATCAGATCTCAGGTTAGGGATTATACCACTCTTGAGGGCTTATAGCCCTGATAGCGCATCTGTGAAGATGACGACTTGGTGGCAGTCAGAACTGGTTTTGTGTAAACTGTAATATTTTGGCGGCCTGCTCTATTGCTAGGATCTCTGCTGTATAGTTGGAACAGAATTTACTAGTGGGTATTATATACTTGTTATGGTGATGGCCCTCTGGATATGTACTTTGTTATGTGAGTGAGTTTTCTAAATTTACCTAATAATGACATAATATTTGGTTACTTATATAATAGAATATTGAATATGTCGGTTGTCTGTAGCTTAGGCATTGCAAACAAGATTCATAATAATTCTGAGATATTGTGTTTGAGCACAGCTGTGGGCAATTTGACAGAAGACCACTTAGAATTGGTTTCACTTTTGACAATGGTATTGAGAGCTGGCTATAAAGAAATGGATGTCAACCGAAATTCTGCAGTTGATGGATGAAAGAAGGAAGAAAAAGAATAATAAAGAAGAATAATCTAGAATTCAAAAAGAAATAGTGAACAAATGCAAAATGACTAAAGAAACCTGGCTGAATTAAATATGTACAGAGATTGGGAAAAATCACAGGAAATACTCACATTCCATATACTATCAGATAAATATGTTAACAGGAAAGATGACACGTAACAGCACTGGATGTTCAAAATCAAAAGATGGTGACTTATTAATGGGACATAGTAATATAATTAACATATGGACAGAGTATATATGGGAATTGTATGATGATAATAGACCAGATGTAGAACTGCAGACCAACAATGACTGCAGAAGTTGAGGATACAATACATCATATGAAAAAAGGAAAAGCACCCGGGCCAGACAACATCTCATTGAAAGAAATCGAAGCACTGGGCGATTTTGGAATTGAAAAAATAACTAAACTTTTAAATGATATTTATGTGGGTATATTCCAAATGACCTTTTAAAATCCATATTTATAGCTCTGCCAAAGAAACCAGGCACCTTAACTCTTTGAGTCCCAAGGAACACATCATACGTTCGTAGTTTCCTACCTAGAAGCCCAATGAACACACGAAGCGCCGATTTAATGTCTCTCTTTACTAACCCTTGGGCCTGTGATACTAAACCCTCTAGGACTCAAAGAGATAAAATGTGAAGACCATCGCACAATAAGTCTTATGAGTCACATGACTAAGATTTTACTTAGAATAATTATGAGAAGAATAAGAAACAAAATTAAACCAGAAATCAGCGATGAACAATGTGAATTTGTAGAAGGAAAAGGTACAAACAATGCCATATACATCCTAAGGACATTGTCAGAAAGAGCTATAGAATTAAAGACTGATTCGTACTTATCCTGCATAGACTGCAAATGCATTTGACTGTGTGACTCCGACTCCCTACTGAGAGGACGTGTTTTTTCCTAGCTCTTACTATTTGGATTTGTTATTCAAGTGTGCCTGTGAACTAGAGACATTTTTACTATCATTTTAATCGTTATTCCTTTAGACGTGCAGTGAAATATTATTTCACGCAATTAGATGTCATGATTGCATGCAAATGTGGTTTTTGTAGCATTCTCAAACATATTTTGAGCGGAAATGTGCCGATGATACAGACACATGATCCACGGATGCGAAGGTCAGTGGGCGTTTTTGTCCGCGCCACTGGGATTTATCACCACCCAGAACACTGGCTAACCGAGTGACGTCCTGCAAGTGTCACACTATACAAACGAAACATGTGTGACTACAATAGGACTGAGCTTTTTCAAAAGATAGTAATGCTAGCGAAAAGAAGAGAAAGGGAAATGCTAACTGCTGGACTCACTCACCGAACTATAGGCATCCGGACCATCCCATTCTCTAATGAAACTACGTAGAACATTATACGCACAGTATTTCGAACGGTGATTCAAGGCGACTTGCCCGCTACTATCTGTGTGAGACAGAAAGAGGACAATAAATCTTACACCAGTGTTTGAACACCAGGCCATCAACCGTTCCTTCGGACACCTAGACGCCGTTTAATGGAGCAAAATTTGTTCTGACGCAGGCGGGTTCACGAATGGAAGAAGAAATAATTACAGGCACTCAGAATTCTCTTCTTTTGAATATTTCACCTTTCTTCGCGATGAAATCTCATCAGGCAACACCAAATACACCTGAGAACACAACATTCTCTAAGCACCCAATTTACCTGCTACAACAGTTCCATCTGTGACCCCGTGGCCACCTAGAAATGAATGTAGAGACACAGCACTTGATTTTCTGTTCTCAGGCATTGATCGATGCACGCAAAAACTGTATGGTTGACAACAAGCACGTCTGGATATCGAAACAGAAAACTCAATGAACGCTATACATTTGCTGTAATTAGATATGCAGTGATCTCCCCCCCCCCCCCCCTCTCTCTCTCTCTCTTTCTCCATCTCTCTCTTTCTGTCTAGGCCGATTTATGTATGTATTGGCTGAGCTGTTAATGATTTTTATTAGTCATCGCTAGTGTATTACTATTGTTAGAACCTAGAAAATGTGAATGCAACCCCTGATGGCTTGCAGAATGCATTTTTCAAGCAATGTTACCATACCACAAGTATGCATCTCTTTCTGAAACTGTCCCTTGGGTGCACCTTTCTACGGCAGTCCTGAATTTTAGTAATACAGTGAGATAGTATTTTGGCTACGGGACACCAGTAGCACACATATATCTTCGTGTAGGGAGTCGGCAGTCCGAAAACCAAGTTCAAGGTGTCTCCTTCGTGCCAAAGAACTGCATGGCTGTTGGGTGAACAGTCGTTAACGAAGGCAGTCAGGTCGTTGTTTGGGCGAGGCTTGCTGGTGGATGTAATGTCCTAAATCCCTTCCCCAGCTAATAGTGAGGGTAATGCTGGGGTGACCGTTTATTAACCCTCACATAATGCTTCGGGTCCAAATGGACACTAGGCACTGCCACTGTTTTGAGCCGGGGCAAACATTTTTGCTTCTGCCAGCTCTGAGTTGAGTGCATGGCGTGACACTGTGAGCTGCGGATTTCATTTGGAATGTTTTTCGACTGACCAACGTGATGGTGTGATTTGTAGATTCAGAAAATGGCGCAATGCCGGTTGTCGCAATATTGGTGGGGCCATTATTTGATTAAAATTGATCGCGTGTGCAACTGCTGATCTTTTAATGACTTCTGCTACCATCAATGATGAACTGCATTTCTAACGTTGGACTGTTTCTGTTAGCACTTCGGATGGCTACCATATGCTTTTAATGCGAGTGTATGCTAGATTTGCTGAGAGAGCAGTTTGTCAGTCTTTCCACAAGGGACTGTGATAAACATTCTGTGTTTTTTGTTGGCACAGGAGCGGAGCAAGGATGGGGTGACCCGTTTGCTATGAAGCTGAAATTAAAAATTACCAGATTACCAGATTTGACTGTGAAGCATGAAGAAGTAATCAAACTGTTGAAAAAATTAAACATTGATGAAAAAGATCTACGAATAATAAAGAATATGTATTGGCAGCAAACAGCAGCTATAAGAATTAACAACTGTTAGGTACATTTCAAAGCATAAAGAGGGGCGTAGGACAAGAATGTGTACTGTCACCTGATTTGTTTTCAATATACAGTGAATATGTAATGAGATCTTTAATTGATATGCCCTGAAGTCAGAAAGAACTACAGGAAATTATAGACATTGTGTTGTTAGAAAGTGGAAGAATGGGCTTCAGCTTGAATAAAGGGAAGTATCAAAGAAACAAATTATTCGTAAATGTGTAATAAAAGTCGGTGGTGTTATTTTGGGACACACACAGAAATTTAAGTATCTGGGCTCATAGAAGATGCATAACTGAGATAAGAAACAGAATAGGACAGGCAAAAGCTGCATTTTATAAAATGAAGAACATCTTGTGCAATATATCCTTGTCATTGAGAGTTTAAAAAAAAGAATTCTTGCTTGCTACACACATCCAGTTTTAACATATGGCTGTGAATCCTGGACAATCGATAGGCAGGCCAAACAATTTCTTGAGGCCTCAGAGATGTGGTTTTACTGAAGAATGCTAAGAATACCTTGGACAGCCAAAAAGAGCAACCAAGAGGTTTTGAAAGAAGCAGGAGTTTGAAGACAACTTATCACAGACATCAGAAGGAGACAGTCATCATTTTTTGGCCATGTTATGAGAAGAGGGAAAATAGAACATGTGACCACTGGAAAGATCTGTGGAAGGAGGGAAGGAGGAAGACAACGAGAGAAGATGCTTAACAGTCTTGTTGCATGGCATGGAGGTGTGTCGGCACACAAACTGATACATGCTGAAGGAGATCGCAGATTGTGGAGAGGCATGATCGCCGCCAGTCAGCAAGGCACCTGATGATTATCAAGAGCTGACCATTGAGAAAACAGTGGCAAACTACCAAACCGTAAAGTTTTCTTGTGAAGTCACAGAAGCCGAAAATTCTTCTTCCTCTTTGTGTTCACCAGCTGTAAACTCCGGAGGAAAGAAAGTTTTGGTTGTTTGCCCATCTGTTTTTCAGATATGACTCATTTGCATGCAGCTGTTGGTTCCTAGCCTCTCTGGCAGGTGCACTCTGACTTCGAATGAAGCTCTCAATTAGTCTACTCTTACGGAATGATTTTGGATGGACTATGGGTCTATTCTTGTTTTCTTTACAATAGGGCCCCAGAACAAAATGAGGAAGCTGAAAATTATGGGGGTTGATTCTGTAAATAAATTGTGTGACTAACTTTACTTAACTAAATTAGTTAATTAAAAGCTACAGCAATGCAGTGTTGCACTGACACTTTCAACAGTCACTTCTTTGCATTTTTTTTATCATTGTCAGATACAGTATAATATATAGTAGTGTCTCAAGTATTACGAATAGTGCCTACCGCAACAAACTTTTGTAATATTCATATTTACCAATCAGTTTAACATGTTTTTCTCAAGTCTCAATTTATCTTGTACTTTTCTTTGGGGAATAAGGCGGTTACACATACAAAAACTAAAGCATATGTTATATATTATTTATTCTTCTTCTGTTACTACTATATCTGTATAATGTATAGGCTCAAAACTTTTGTGCCAAGCAGTTCTATGTTTGACCTGATCCAAGACTTTGGTGATGATCCGTCATCACTGGGTTACAGGCATGATTTCTCTCCTCAGCCCTGTAGTAGTTCTTTTCATGTGTTTCTTATAATCTCTAGAATAGTGCTTTCAGTATTGTGTGTCCTGCAGTGTAAAGGTGTGTGGCATGATTGTAAAGTTAAACAATTTATATTGTTTCCGTATCTCTTATAAGTATTTAGTTTAACCTTTTGTTTGCTAGCAGACTGAATTACTGTGTCATGAAATTACGTTTGTATAAAAATTGTCACCAGTGTGAAAAAATTGGACAGCTCTACTCTAGGGAGTTGGCTTTCTTTCATCTGCATACACATACTCCCTTCTTGTAGCCCCTCCACCTTTAAGATTGCAATCCCCTATGGTTTCCGGGGCCCTATTATAGGGAAAACAAGAATATACCCATTGCCAAAAGCATGTCGTAAGAGTCAACTAATTGGGAGCTTCCGTCAGAGTTCATCTGCCTGAGAGGCAAGGAACCAACAGTCTGCATACAAATTATTCAGATCTGTCAAACGGATGCACACGCAGCACTGAGGTTCTGGAACTGTAGAACTGCAGTCCAGAAGTGGACAAACAACCAGAACTTTCCCCCCGAGTTTACAGCCGGTGAACAAGAAGAAGAAGAAGATTGCAATAAAAACAGTCAGCAGTTGGTATTTTAGAGACAAGATATTATTTCCTGATTGTTGTATCTGTGGTCTGATTCCCAGGCCGTCTGCATGCAATGCAGCAAGGGATGGCAATCGACAAAACATCTCCAGAGGCCAGGAAGTTTCTGGTTGCATTGATGGATTACTTGGAAAAGGTAATTATGGGTATATGTATCTTCTTCTTTTGTGTTTACCCTTGAAGGTGGTTGAGATGTTGTTTTGTGGATTGAAGCGAAGCTATGACATCTGTGCCTTTCTGTCCAACACGTCAAATTTCAGAAAACCCCTAATATGTCCATTCTTTTTTATCCCCAAAATGGGGTCCTGGAATATATAACTGAGGTGTTTAATATTTTATGGAATTTTTTTTTCCTGAACTCAGCTTCTCCCCCAGCCCCCCCCCCCCCACCTTTTACTCCCATCTTCATCAAACAAGGGTCTACTCAGTCTTAAACATATTTTTACATAGAATAGCTACAAGAATCACTAATGTGATTTTTGGGAGAGAAATAAACAATTCAAGTGACTTAAGAGGTGAAGAGAAGATGCTGGAATTGGACAGGATGCATGTTGAGAATACATGAGAACAATATAGCTGAAAGGGCTTTACACTGGGACCCACGGGTGCTTGGATATAAAGGCAGACTAAAAAACGCATGGAGGAGAAGCCAGAGAGTGAAGTTAAAAAAGTTTGGGAGGACATGAGGAGAGCTACATATGATAGCAAAAGATAGGATAACTTGGCATTGACCCAGTTGAAGGCCTGTGCTCCTTTGGTAGGTCATCATCATCATAAATTTCCACTTCTGTGTTGTGGGGAGGAAAATTTTGCGATCCATTGCTTCATGGGCATCAATGACCAGTAAAAACTCTTTAATGTCATCAGTCGATCTTCTCCTAGGGCGACCTTTTGATTTTACTTAAATCTCTTTATGTGCAGCACTTGCATTGGTAGTTGTTCTGGCTGCATTCTTATTAAATGACTAAAACATTTGATCTTCTGTTTTTGAATGAATTTGCTGCATGGTGTTGTTCCTACAGTCTGTCTGATAATATCATTTTAACTTTGTCTCAGATGGTTATCGGCTTTTCTCAGTCATCTCATTTCACAGGTGTTAATTTTAAGTAGGATAGCTTTTGATAATGGTAGCACAGCGCAGGTATGAATATGCTGTTTATAATCTGTTTCTTGGCACTCATGTTAAACTTAGCCTGTTCAAATGGTCTTGTAATCTATCCCTTTCATTGTAGAACAGGCACTGATCATCTGCAAATAGTAGCTCATTTACTGTGTGTGGATCTAATTGTTCCTCTGGAAAGTAAAGATCCTCATTTTCTGCGTTGACTGTTTTAAAGCTTTGCTAAGTAAAGGGCAGAAGGAAAAAAGTAGTAACAAAAGCACCCTGCAATGAAAAATGGATTAGATCCCCTCAGTTGATTTGGATTGATGGCTGGAAACTACTAGAAACAAGTAAGAAAATAATGACTCACATTGAAAGTCTTAGTTTTAGAATCAGTGTTCTAGAACTACGGGGACATTGATAGGCGCTCCATCTCCCTCTGCAAATGTTAGGAGGTTTAGCTAACTGATTGTTCAGTGAAATGCTGGTTATAAATATTTCAGATTCTTTTCCTCAGTTCCTTCCCTGCTGGAGCTACACATAAATCCATTCTAAAACATTCTTATAGATGTCATTTCATCTGGTATTGTACGACCAGCAGTCGTCAGACTTCCAAAATATCCTGCCTGTTCATAGTTTTAGAAAATATTTGTCTATTCAAAATCTTCAAAAATATCTGCATATTCATTGTCTTTAAAAGATTTTGCTTATTCGTAATCTTCCAAACAATTATAATGTAAACAGGTATGATATGATCAGTATCTTTTTCAGAACAAACGAGGAAGAACAAGATTCCAAATTGTGAGAATATTAGGCTGGAAATGTTTATAGATCTCCATAGTTACTGAATGTTCTCTGTTTCTTCATTTACTTCTGTATATTTTTGACTTCTTAAACTGCTGTCTCACACAGTCCAAACTTCAGCTGAAAGATGAAGAAGCAATCCACAACAATGTCTGTGGACAAGCTCACGTAGAGAACTATGCTCTCAAGCTGTTTCTGTTTGCTGATAATGAAGACCGTGCTGGGAGATTTGGCAAGTAAGTTGCATTCAGTGAATGAACAAGTATTTGTTAGTGCTGATTATAAACTTCTCATTGCAGAAATGGAACCCTTGTACTCAAGGATTATGAGATGATTAAACACATTCACTAACCTTTAAGCCACAGAGCTGCATCCTCACATTCTGCTCTTGTATTAAAGTCAGTATTCTGGTCCATTATCGCTGGGAAAGGAACATTTCAGCTGCATCTTCCCATGGCAGAGAACTGGAAACATACAACAGCTGTCGGAACCCATTGTGTTAAATAAATAAGTGGTGGCCTTTCCTGTTAGCAATGTTATCGCTCAGTGCTTTTTTTTTTTACCCAAGCAGCTTTAAACATGGAGATGAGATGTCTGAGAAAGGCAGGAGTGACCAGAAAAAAAATAGAATCATTGATGAAGTCAGCATAAAACCAATTTAAATTGCATACAAAGACAACAAAATGGTTTGCTCATGTTAAGATTTTGTCTTTCAACACCATACAAGGCCAACAGTAAAAGAGGAGTGGAACATAGAGAATAAGGTAGACAAAGAACATGAATGATATCATCAGAGAAACTCTACAACAGCATGATGTGCTGATGGTTGAGGTGGCCAGAAGAGCAAGAGGCAAACCCTTATGTCTTTCTTGACACCTGAAGTGGTAAAACTAAAAGAGGAAGTGAAGAAGAAATGCTGAAGGTGTTGTTGAAGCCAACTAAATGTGGGAAAAGGGGGGGGGGGACTACCATCCCAAGAATCCCATCATGACATCATCATCATCAGGTGCCCTACCAACTGGCATAGGCACTCATGCGTCTCCACGGGTTACAATCCCTGGTTGACTGGAGCAGCTCTCTTGATCATATCCCTCTATGCCCTCGTTTCAGCCCATCCAGCATCGTCTCTCTTGGTCTGCCTCTACCCCTTTTTTCACTGATATTTCCAGTTGTCACGATGTTCTTCAATGTCTCTTTTCTCATTATGTGGCCAAAAACAGTGTCTCTTTCTTATTGTTGTATATAGAGATCTACTTTCATTGGCTTCTTTCAAGCAATCGTTGTTAGTTACTCTGGCCAGTTACATCATGACAACTGAAAGAAATTTATGGGTTGAACAGAATACAGAATGGACACCATATATCAAGGATACCCTGAGCTTGAAAATTCATAAGATTAAATTTTAATAAAGTTGACAAGGGACCTTATGACTTTCCTGCAAACTTTTCAAGATAAGAGGGTTGTCATTGCACTGAGTTTTATCCTGTATGACTCGGTCTCTCTTTACAGAATGACTAGGCCTTACTGAGAGCATCACACAAAGCACAGACTCTGTAGCTCCACTGGTGACCCTCACAGATCTCCATAAAAACTGCACATGTGAACTGAACAATGCATCTGTGAAATTAACCTTCAGAGTGCTAGGCAAATAGCTTGACCACTTCACCACAAAGACCCCTGTGAGATTTGATAAGAATGATGTTCTGCAAAAAACCATATTAATGTAAAGTTTTTCTTTCATTCTAAATGCTCTTGTGTGTGTCTACTATATTTATGTTTGTTTTCTTAATTACCCTACACTTGTACACTGCTTCATTTGTTTTGTTTCTAGAAATGTTATCAAGGCATTTCTCACTTCAAGTTTACTGATGGATGTTCTAACAGAGTTTGGGCCTCTGAGTGAGGATGTGAGTATACTGCACAGTTGTATAATATCATTTGTACCGCCTGGGGTGTGAAATTGTTCACACATATACACTGGAGATTGTTTACTCATGTATGATCTGGAGATTGTTCACACATGTACAGTCTAGAAATTGTTCACACATGTACAGTCTGAAAGTTGTTCACACATGTACAGTCTGCAAATTGTTCACACATGTACAGTCTGTAGATTGTTCACACGTGTACAGTCTGGAGATTGTTCACAAATGTATAGCCTGGAGGTTGTTCACACATGAACAGTCTGGAGTTTGTTCACACACGTACAGTCTAGAGATTGTTCACAAATGTATAGCCTGGAGATTGTTCACACATGTATAGTCTGGAAATTGTTCACACATGTACAGTCTGGAAATTGTTCACACATGTACAGTCTGGAAATTTTTCACACATGTACAGTCTGGAGATTGTTCACACATGTACAGCCTGGAGATTGTTCACACATGTACAGTCTGGAGATTGTTCACACATGTACAGTCTGGAGATTGTTCACACATGTACAGTCTGGAAATTGTTCACACATGTATAGTCTGGAAATTGTTCACACATGTACAGTCTGGAGATTGTTCACACATGTACAGTCTGGAAATTGTTCACACATGAACAGTCTGGAGATTGTTCACACATGTACAGCCTGGAGATTGTTCACATACGTACAGTCTGGAGATTGTTTACACATGAACAGTCTGGAGATTGTTTACACATGAACAGTCTGGAGATTGTTTACACATGAACAGTCTGGAGATTGTTTACACATGAACAGTCTGGAGATTGTTCACACACGTACAGTCTGGAGATTGTTTACATACGTACAGTCTGGAGATTGTTTACACATGAACAGTCTGGAGATTGTTTACATACGTACAGTCTGGAGATTGTTTACATACGTACAGTCTGGAGATTGTTCACACATGTACAGTCTGGAGATTGTTCACACATGTACAGTCTGGAGATTGTTCACACATGTACAGTCTGGAGATTGTTCACACATGTACAGTCTGGAGATTGTTCACACATGTACAGTCTGGAGATTGTTCACACATGTACAGTCTGGAGATTGTTCACACATGTACAGTCTGGAGATTGTTCACACATGTACAGTCTGGAGATTGTTCACACATGTACAGTCTGGAGATTGTTCACACATGTACAGTCTGGAGATTTTTCACACACGTACAGTCTGGGGATTGTTCACACATGTACAGTCTGGAGATTTTTCACACATGTACAGTCTGGAGATTGTTCACACACACATACAGTCTGCACACCTGTATAAAGTCATGAGTATACTAACAGGTGAGAACTGTGGAAAAGGCCAAAGGTGCAAAGCACTAGAACCTTCAAGAGAAAAGAAAGGCAAGAAAACTAAACAGAACCCTGAAAGGAACAGAGAAGAAGTGGAATGCTAGGCTGTCGGCATTGGTGCAGCAGCTGGAGAAACCATTTATTCATGCAGCAGTTTCTTTACAGAATGTGGCTTCCATCCCACTCTGCCTGAAAGGAAGATGGTCCTTCAATAGCTCTCCTGCCCAAGATGTCTCTTGAAAGAAACCACTGAATAGAAATTAATTTAGCACAACTGTTCTTATATTTCACAGGGACTTTTTATATCCAGGGTGTTGGTTACTTTATAATAAACAGTTTTTGGGTAAAATTGGAGGAAAAATTGCAGAAAGAGTTGAAAAATTCATTAAGATAAAAAAATACAGTAAAACCTAATTAGGACAAATTCACTTAAGAAAAACACTGAGTTGACATGAACAAAATGTTGGCCCCTTTATGGGTGTATTATTATTAGTCCACAGTTAGTGCACTTATTTTTTAACACAAACTTACATATTTATCCCCTTAAAGTTCATGTTAACAAGGTTTTAGTGCGCTTAGAACTATGATGATGTAGAGAAGTGTATATAATGTACACATATTGATATGTTTATGTGCACAGGTTAATATGATAGTAATGCTGCATATGATCCATTTCAGATTGAGAAAAACAGAAAGTATGCCAAATGGAAAGCTTTGTACATAAACAAATGTCTACAGAACGGAGAGACCCCAATGCCAGGGCCCATGCCAGAAGAGGGTTGGTATTCTTCTTCTTCTTCTTCACCCACTGAGTACTGGTTGATCTATTAGAAAAATATGAATGTAGCATCATATGCCTCATGCAACACTAGCCTGAAAAAGGTCCTTTACTGGTTCACTAGTAGTTTTTTAATCTTGACATTTTGCCAGTGTACTACTTCTTCTTCTACTTCCCGTTCACCAGCTGTAAACTCTGGCCGAAAGTTATGGTTTTTCATCCACTTCTGGACTGAAGTCCTGTTCCAGAACCTGATTGTTGCATGTGCATCCGTTTTACAGATCTGACTCATTTGTATGCAGACTGCTGGTTCCTTGCCTCAGAGGCGGATGCACTCTGACTTTGAAAGAAGCTCCCAGTTAGTCGACTCTTATGACATGCTTTTGGGTAGGCAGTGGGTCTAATCTTGATTTCTCTATAATAGGGTCCCTGAACCCACACAGGGAGCCAATGTACTAAATCTCCCTGGGTTCCAGGGCCCTATTGTGGGAGGAAAAAGAATAGACCCACTGCTTCCTAACAAGTATGTAGTAAGAGTCTACTGTTTAGGGATGTTTCCTTCAAAGTCAGAGTGTATCGTCCGGAGAAGAGAGGTACCAACAGTCTGCATACAGATCAGCTAGATCTGTAAAATAGATGTGCACACAGAACTCAAGTTCAGAAACAAGACTGAAGTCCAGAAGGGGATTAATATCCAGTACTTTCTGCCAGAATTTACAGCTGATGATTGTGAAGATGAGTGGCAATCAGTTGCAGTTTTTATGTTAAGCATACTAACCTGCCAATAGAGCAGATTGCAGGTTACCCTGATAGCATTTAGCATGTTTAGTCAGTTTCATTTTGCACTGGGATCAACCCATGCTCTTGAAATTGCTATCATGGATTCCTCTTAGAAAGTAGTTGGTCATCCCATCTCTCAAACTACGGCCTAGTGTGTTTGTTGTTGAATATGCCACTCCTGTAGTAGCATTTCACATCATCTTCTTCTGCCCTTTATCTCCCAGTGGAGATTAGGCCATCAACTAGCACATGCTGTCATAGATTCTTTGCTACAACATGCAGCTCACTCCATGTCCTCTCTCATTCTTTAAACTACACTCTCTAGTATCCTTCTCGGTGCCTTTTTGGGCCTTCCTTAGTTTCTGTGCCACTGTGGATTCTAGTGTAAAACCCTTTTAGCTGAAATTTGTAGTTCTTTCCCAGAACTCTGCATTAATGATTCTGTCATACTTTTTAACGCTCGCCTTGAGAATCCTCTGACCCGATACTTCCTGTTGGGTCCAGTTGCCCATAAATGTCAGCTTTTTTGACTAGTCTGTAGTGATCTTTTTACGAGACGCATAGTTAATGCTATTGACTAAGTTCGCACTGGTACAAACATTTAGGTCAGGATTTTAAGATGTTAACTAAAAATAGCATAGGGATGGGGGGTGTTGTTTCCTTTGAGCCAAATAGCTTTTTAAAGCTAAGTTAATGACAGATTTTCCTGTGTTGAACCTCTGCTAATAACTAACGTATTGTTTCCTGCCACAGAGGACGAGTTTGGCAACCAACCAGGAATTGGCTTTGATGATGTCTCCGGCCCGTCAGTACCACCAAACCAGATGACCTTCAGTACAGACAGTGGCCTCTACCCTGCCCCCGGGGCCCATGCACCGCCCAGTACTCCTCAGGACCCTCCTCGTATAGACTACCAGTCGGCCCCACCTGCCTCACCGTATCAGCCTAGCCCTCACATGAGTCCTCAGCCCATGCCGAGATCTGTACCTGCACCAAGGAATCAAAACCCACAGGCAGCGGCTGCTGCTAACGTATCTGACTGGACGCCTCCGGCCAATCCAAGTGGGTGTTCTTTCTTTTTCATTTTCCCCCCTTCTTTATCCTCTTCCATTAGTGGTTCTATTTTTTCTCCATTTATTGCTGTGTCTGTTGCACACAAGTGGATGTGATGATGTACACATGGGTATATGATTTTGTACACAAGGTCAGCGTGGGCTTACACAACTCAGAGGGTTAGAAAAATAATAACAGAGGAAACTGATGCTTATCAGGCAACAAGATGACAAGTAAAATGAAAGAAACTGAAAACCTGTACCTGAGAATAATGCAGCGGAAAGTGTTGGTGGGCTCTGGGTGCCACTTGAGATTCAGAGGAAAGGCAAGACAAGTAGTTAACCAGATGACGAGTACCATCAGTATGTAAACTTTTCACTGGCTGTTGAGAAAAACAGGGCTAATATGGGCTTGTTCTGAATACTGTGGTGTCTTTACCCAGATAAACCCAGGCAGTATGGAAACTCTTCACTGGCTGTTCAGAAAAACAGGGTTAATATGGGCTTGTTCTGAATACTGTGGCGTCTTTACTCAGATGAACCCAGGCAACTGTGCCAAGCAGGGCCATGGAAATAACTGCCGCAATGAGAGCGCCAAAGTTAAGTTTATGAAGGGGTGGAATGTTACACTTCTCTGAGTGGATCTTTTCAGTTATGAATGTTGAGGTGAGTGGAATGTTGAAATGTTGCAGCTAACAATAGGTAAAGAACTGGCAGGCATGTCGTTAACCAGCTTATAATGAACGAGATCATCAACCACATTCATCACTTCATGCTCTGAGATTCATTATCTTGTTTGCCAATATGTGTCACATAGGGCTGATGATCTATTTTTCCATTCCATTCTGTCCTATGCAGTCACTTCAGTTTCATCAATATAATCCAGTCCAGCACCTTAGGCCTCATGCTTAGAGAGACTGGGCACTTTTCAACTTGTTCTGAGTGTGTAAATGACCGTTTTTTAAATTCATGATAACTTTAGAAACAACAGCAGAAAGGGGAAAAGGGTTATTAAATACAAGATAAAGATCAACAAAAGGCAAGATAATAAAAACATTAATGGGCAAGAGTGCAAAGGAAAGCTCAGAAAAGAAAGAAAGAAGACAAGCGATTAAAACAGATAAATAAAATGTAGAAAAGACAAGCCAAAAATAAGGAAAGGGGAGTGGGCATTTTCGTTGTTGTCAAAAATCCTAACAGTCAGATTATGTCATGTTTGTTTCTTCTACTCCCAGGCGGCGTGAAGCTGACTTCGGATCAGTATCAAAAAGGTATAAAGTATTGCAAGTTTGCCAGTTCAGCCATGCAGTACGAGGACTCAGAAACAGCTATACTAAACCTGACCAAGGCGCTTAAGCTTCTCACCACTGGTGTCGATGGGAAATGATGAATGAGTAAAGTTTATAATGTTGTTAACTTCATTTATGGAACGCTATTGCTGTTACCTTCATTTTATTTATGATACAAACATATTTCTGTTTTATGGATTAGAAATGATTGATTGTCATGTAAAACCTTCACTTTTTGTGTAGATAATAAATTATATGTGAATGTGATTCTTTTTCTTCACTTCCTGTTTTATACCGCTTCAGATGTCGGAGACATATGGTTGCTCTTCTGGTCACCTTGACCATAGATACATCAGGCTGCTATAATGTTTTCTGATGTTATCTTTCTATCTTGTTCTTGGTCGTCCTTGTGCTCTACTTCTCTCTCCTTTTTTTGTGTATGCCTTGAGTACTATGGCGACCTGATGAAAGTTAACCAAAGGTGTTAGAGATTTAGATTGCCCGTGCACTGGAACCCACAGGTCAGAGGAATAAAAGCAGACCCAGAAAAGAATGGGATGGGAAAGATATGAGGTGTGCATGTTGTAGCAAAGGATAGGACGACTTGGCGTGTTGGTTGACATCCTGTGTACTTTGGCACTATTTTTAAGGGAACATAACATTAACACAATGTCAGATCAGTAGACCGACAATAGCTGATAATTTTAATCAGCCATGTAATTGTGCAGGAAATTAATTTCACAATGACCGTTGCCAGCCAGAGCATCAAAGTGATAATAGACCTTACAGTTATGAAAGTCACATTTGACCTGTTTCATGTCACTGAAGTAATGCCCTACTTTTGTCCTTGCAAACTGGCTCATTTGGTTGTCCCAAGTTCAGTGCCTCGTCAAAGATTGCTCATTTTCTCTGGTGGACTACTGAACTATGTCAGCCTGGGAACACTGTAAATAAAAAATGCTATTTGATTTGCAGGAAAACACCCCTAAATGCTGATTTTAGCTAATATATTCTTATCCTGACCTCCTAACCGTTTGTGCATGAATTAACTCAACCAGTAGCATTAAATGTACCTCACATCATTCTAGACTGTCGTAAAAGTGACATTTGTGAGGAACTGGGTCCAGCTAAAAGTGTTGGTTTTGCAGCTTCTTTGGGCGATAGGGTTAAACTCTCCTCATATGAATGCATGGCCACATGTTCTGTCTGTGAGACACAGTAAAAAACAGCTTCTGTGGTGACTTACATTCATTAGGATGGGACCTGCTCAGACCACACAGCCATTAATGTTAAACAAGATATGATAACCATTGAAATACATTATTGTGGTCTGTAAAGGTCAATTCATAGCTTTATTATACTGTGAAATCATTTTATATTGTTACTGTTTTTGGTTTACATGATTATATGTTAGTATATTGCTGAGTGTTACTACTGTTTAATCATACGCAAACAAAAACTAATCTGCATTTGAGAATGCTTGCTGAAAACCCTTGCCAGTTTGTCAGTTTTTAAAAAAAGTATTTCTCACAATGCTGACATGCAGGTCAGCAAGAAATATGTGAAGGTAAAAGAAAGGTGGTTCAAATAGGAATGAATGGAAGACAATAAACTGAAGATTCTCACTGCATCACCTGTTCAGTGCTGATTGATGTATAATAATATGAGTATGTTGTACCAGCATAAAAAGCATCCTCTATTTTTATAGGGTGTGAACCATTCAAAGAAGACGTGACATAACAAGAGATTTATTATTTGCATATTTAATTGTGGCTTGCAAAAACAGTGACAGTGAAGCATTTGAGAGCTGGTGTCATTTAACATTTTTAAAAGTGATATGTTGTTCCTTAGAGGCTAAACGCTCACCTGCCAGTCCAAAATTCTTGAGTTTGATTGAATCCAAATCAAATCAGAAATCTGGCTTGGCTCCTAGTTCAACTTAACCTAAAATAAGTACCACATAATGAATGTCCTGGATTGACCACAACCCCTGTAGATTGACAAGTGAAAAGCTTACACAAATTTGTTTAGCATCATATGCCTTATGCGCTGCTGGCGTAAACAAAGACTTTGACCTTTACTACCGCCCTTAGGAGATGTGTGTCTGGGTGTGCATGTTTGCATGTACACTTTCATGATGCCTGAATGAAACTGTTACTTATATTTCATGATTTCTCAGAAGAAATTACGTAGTAATACTTAATGTTGTTCTTAACTGTTATTATTCTTACTGGTAATAGGTTGCATTATTATTTGATTAATTGTTTGTTACATTTCTTGGACAAAATATGTCCCTGTGCAGGCATTATTCTTACCTTTACAAAGCAGCTGATCATGCTCCTTTCAAGTGCCCCCATATCAAACATCTGTGGTGCTACTACAACCATTGTGAACTCACTAAAAAGAGATAAAATCAGGAATAACCTCATAAGACAAAGGGTCAACAAGGAACCAGTTCTAAATTATAACAGAGCCAACAAATAATAAATTGGTTTGCTCTTAGAATGCCTTGCAACATTATAGTGGACAAGGCATACACCAAAAGAGAAAGTGAGGTAGAACAATGGGCAGACAAAGAATAAGATGGGAAGGTAACATCCAGACTAAGCTGGGTACTAGGTAATGTCCTGGAAAGTAAAGGTGATCGATGTGGTAACCACATCATACATGAAGTGGCAAAATGTTCTAGCTCTTTGCCTCACGTTAGGGCAAGGTTGAGGATTCTTTGCCGCTCCCTAGGGATTATCCCAGGAGCTACTGAGTTTGTGCTTTATTTAACGCTCTTGGTAGGCGGCTAGCAGAGGGAGACTGAGCTATGTGATAAAAACCCGGTGCAATGAAATCAATCTTCTTTCCTTGACTTTACCATCAGATACTGATTGGTCTCTATAAACATAGGTCTAGCACTGTGTGCCCAATGGGGAGCTACTGTGATGTAGCGGCTAGATGCTCCCTCGCAGTTGCAAAGTTCATGGGTTCAAGTCCTGACGGAACCAGACTTTTATTTTTCAGAAATGACCTTGGCTCCCAGGTTGACTCTGTCCTAAATGGGTATCAGGTAAATTCATGGGCAGTAAAGGTAGTCTGCGTGATGTTGACCACATTACCCACCTAGCGCTGTTTGGTCTATAAAGTTTCCTTCGAAGTCAGAGTACATCTGCCGGTGAGGCAGGGAACGGAGAACAATAAGCCAGTAAAACGGATGTACACGCAAAACTCAGGTCCAGGTGAAAGCCAAAAGTCCAAATAGATGAACTACCGGGACCTTTTGTCAGAATTCACAGCCGGTGAACGAGAAGAAGAAGGTCTGTAAAGTGTAGGTCTTGCCCAGTGCACCTGAAGGCGAGTGAAAGGGTCCTTTACTATATGCCCGATGCACATAAGGTGGGAAATAGGTTGGTACCTTTCACCTACTGTTATTAGGCAGAAGACTTGAAACAAGTGGACTTTGGAAATGTACTTTGCAAGAGATGCAGAGGAAGGTGTATGCTGGAAGCTTAAATATAACATATCACATGACAGAAGCGAGGGAAGAGCTGTGATAATTTGTGTCCGTTTCAGTCTAGGTACCTGAGAGAGACGTTGATGATCCAGCGTTTATTGTAATGATTTGACTGCGCGTCATTGGCATAACTTTTAGAACATGCTTCGTAAGTATAACAATAAAATAATAATAGAAAGTATGTGTTTTTTTTTTTTTTTTTTTTTTGGTCATTGTGTATCTTTTCTTTCCCCCTTTCTTCTTCATTCTTTTTCTTAGCGTTCGCCAGCAGTTAACTTTGATGGAAAGCTATAGTAGTTTGTCCTCTTCTGGACTATGGTTTTTTTGGTTGGTTTTGTTCCGGACCTTTTGCACATACATTTTACAGATTTGGCTTGTTTGTATGCAGACTGTTCTTTACCTCTCTGATGCACTCTTGACTTGAAAGGAAACTCCCTAAGTCACCTTTAACAACAGGCTTGTTTGAGAAGCAGTGGGTCTATCCTTTCCCTCCCAAAAATAATGCCTCGGAACTCAAAACAGGTTTGTCAGGTCGTTCTGCCCTTTGCCTTAGCGTGCAGCTCACCCCATGTCCTCCCCATATTTTTCATCCCACTCTCTACTTCCCGTCTCCATATTTGTTCGTGGTGGGTCTTTTTTTCCTTTACCATGTGGGTTCTATTACAAGAACATTCTAGTTATATTGTCATCAGGTTTTCTCAACATATTTCCTATCCAGTGCACCTTTTGGGTTCCAACTGCAACTTTTCCTCAATTCTCGATTCGTTGGAATTTGATTAGCTCTCTCACAGAGCTGGCATCGGTGAGTCTGTCATTTAATTCCTCTATTCTGCGAAAGTACCAGTTATTTAATGTTTTATTATTAGTTGTTGTCTGTGTATCCGCTTCATCTGTTTCCAGTGACTGATTGCAGCATTTCTGCTTACTAGACTAGTATGGTTTGTTTTGGATCTCACGGCATGTCTCCCTACCAACAACTACCTTTCGCTAATCTCACTCTCACACACACACTGAAGTAATCTTGTGTTTATGCTCATCCTCTATCAAACGGCGAGACTCCACAAAGACATTGCTTGGTCCCCACAAACCTCAACAGACGTTCCTTTACTTAGCCAAGGGCTCCTCCCTAAAGAAAAAAAAAAGGGGGGGGGGGAGGGAGAGGGGTGGTGATAAGAAAGTTCTGACTGTTGAGGTACTTAAAATTTAAAATCCTATTTTAAAAAGTCTTTTTTTTTCACGCCTTTAGGCATATTGAGAATATAGGGCTAGACCTATAATTGTATAGACCAATGGGAACTTGGTAAGTGATGTGGTCAGCATCACGCCGGCCGCGTTTACTTCCCAGAACTGCACCTGGTACCCACTCAGGGCTGGCTCGGCCTGGGAGTCAATAAACCACCTCGTGGTGAATGACAAGTGAATATAATTCTATATCTCAAATTATATATAATGTATCAACAGATACTTTAACAAAAGCTTATGTACATGGTTGGGGGGGGGGGGTTTAAGTTCTTACAATGTGTGTGGGTGGGGCAGAGGAAGCCTTAATTAAGGGGCCTGGTTCTGGCGCTTATGATAGGATCCCCTATAAGAGAA